AAAAGGTAAGAAAGAGATGGTTCTTTAAAGAACCTTTGACTGAATGCTTCTTTGTGGAACCAAAGATGGTTCTTCTATGGCATCGCTGTGAAGAACCTTTTAAGCAGCTTTATTTTTAAGAGTGTATGTTATGTGCCTTAAAGCTTTTCTCAGTTATATAAAATTAAAAAATAGCATTTTTCTTTATCCTGATGCGACTAAATGATCGTAAGGTGACTAAATGACAGAATGTTCACTTTTGAGTGAACTAAATCTTTCTGACACGGACTTTAAACTGAAGTTATATGTTTTTAAAATAACCGTCGCTGTCTAGAAATAGTCTAAAAATCACTATATTCAAATGTCAAACCACAGTGAAATCATCTGCTGCTAATATTCAGGTAACAGGTTTCAGTTTGAATCTGCTGTTGGAGATAATCAGAACAATGAGAAAACAGTAATTTCAACAGGTTTCTTTATAACATATTTGCATTATAAATATTAAAAATCTCTACTGCCTCTTGTTTTCAAAAGTCACTTTATAAAGCTGAGAAAGTTCTTACTTTTTTCACTTGAATGTAAATAGTTTTAACTTTTTCTCTTGCATTTTTTTTTTGGATAGGTACTACAATAACAATAATTTAGTAAAATATTTTTAACATAGTATCTGTACCTGTTACACTGAAAAAAAATCCTTAATCAGTGTTTTTATCTTGTTTTCCAGTGCAAATATTTAAACATCCTTAAATCGAGATACATTTACTTGCGAAGGAATATGACTATTAGTTAAATTAGATATTAAGATCTGAAAAATAACTAAAAAATTCAAAGAGGAAACAAGATTATAATGAAGGTTGTTGTTTATTCATTTATTTATTTTCTGACCCAGTTAACACATTTTTTCTTGTTTTAATCAAAAACTCACTTAATTTATATGCATTTTTTTTTTTTCAGAAAACAACACTTTTAATATCATTCAAGTCATTTTGCTTCTCAAGTAAATGTATCTTCATTTAAGAATTTGTAGATATTTGTACTGGAAAACAAGACAAAAATATTATGAGAGACCATCTTTTTTTGCACTGTACATTTGCATTGGTTGCAAGTGTGATTCTAAAGCAGTTGAGCTTCAGAATCAGCTTTATTTGTTATTATTGAATAAGTGCATAATTGTCTGCAGATCGAAGGACATTGAGTCGACCGGTTTTAACGGCACCGCGGCGTTCATGGAGGTTCGGGTTCAGTCCATCGTGGTGGAGTTTATTCTCACTCACGTGGCCGAGGTTTTCTCAGGAAGCGGTATTTCATCTTCCTTAATAAACCCTCTGCGCTTTATGTTATTTTCATCATCCTCAGTATTACGTGTTCCAGTTTTCTCAGTTGTAAAATGTTGATGTTATTGTTTTAATACAGGATTGTCTGTGGAGCGCCGGAAGTCCCTCCCATCTCCCTCAATACTGTCCACTCAGGACGATCATTTATTCAAGTCTTTACCGTTACACTGTCCAGGAAACCTCAGTCCAGGAGACGGACCTCCGCCAATGCGGCCGTACCACGCTATTATTGACGGCACTGACAAGTAAGACTGAAGAGACATAGTGCTTCTGAGTGTCCAATGCTATGAAGTAGTGATGGTTTAAATTTAAACTGCATTTGAAACATGTTAAACTGAGTTAGAACATGGTGAATGATGTCGCCATCTAGTGGTCAGAAAGATGAACAGCACCTGTGCTTCATTCACATCTGGCTCTGCAACTGATTCTTCATAAATGTTTTGTTTCTGTTGTTATTAATTACCTAATTCTTAATTGATTTGATTTTACTTTACAGTATTTCATTTTGTTTTATTTTATTTTACATTATTTTATTTTTGTTTTACATTTATATTTTAATTTATTTTATTTTACATTATTTTACTTTACTGTTTTCTTTTCTTTTATTTAATTTACATTTTATTTTATTTTACTTTGCTTTACCATATTTAATTTTAATTTCATTCTAATTATTTCTGTTTGTTTGTTTGTTTATTTATTATATTTCATTTTATTCTTATTTTTGTGTTGTGCGCACTGCCCACAAGGCTATTGGCACCAACATTATTATTTTTTTTTTTTTTCTTTATTTAACTTTATTTTATTAACCTTAACCCAACTGTAACATCACTACTATAAAGTATGTGAGATTAGGATTTGTTCATCTCTAACAGAGTTCAGAAAAGTAAGCCAAAGTTTAAATAATAATGATTTTTGAAGATAATTTAGTTAGATGGTAATGCTTTTACTTTTATATTTTATTTATTTTATTTTAAATTTATTTTAATTTTTAATTTTAAATTTGACTTTACTTTGCTTTATTAAGCTTAACCTTAACCTTAACCCAACTGTAACATCACTGCTATAAAATATTAGGATTAGTGCCTCCCCAATAAAGTGAGTTGAGAACAATAAGCCAAAGGTGCCTAAAAGTTAAATAGTAACTTTTTAACATTTGTAATAATGAATACAAAAATAATGATACTGATGCTTTCATGTAAACGCTAATAGCATCAAGAAGCAATTATGAACTGTACTCTTTTATTACATACTCGAAAGTACCAGTGAAGTATGTACTTTAAGTGCATCATAGAAGTGTGCTTGTTGAGATGTAGCCATTGTCATCCATTATTTTATTTTATTTTATTTTATTTTATTTTATTTTATTTTATTTTATTTTATTTTATTTTATTTTATTTTATTTTATTTTATTTTATTTTATTTTATTTTATTTTATTTTATTTTATTTTATTTTATTTTATTTTATTTTATTTTATTTTATTTTATTTTATTTTATTTTATTTTATTTTATTTTATTTTATTTTATTTTATTTTATTTTATTTTATTTTATTTTATTTTATTTTATTATCATGCAGACTCATCAGCATTAAGCTTGACCATCTGTGTTGTGTTCAGGAGGAAGGGCTCCCTCAAAGGAAGGAAGTGGAGATCCATCTTTAATTTGGGCGGGAGACTCCAAGATCAGCGCAAGAAGAACAAATACTGTCCTAAAGGTGTGAGGTTCTGACTGTAAACCAAGTAACAGCTGAATTATAGAGTATTCTGGAAATGCAAAATGAATTTTTGCATGACTGAAATCAACAGATAATTGACTACAAATGTTTCCCCTCTCACATCTAATTCATAGCTTTTGTTTCTCATTATATCTTCTAAATGCACAGATAAAGAAAAGACAGCTCTGAGGCCGGCGAAGAGCATGGAAACTCTGAGCTCAGGTCCTTATGCACTAGACGGTATGAAGAGCGTTTCATCATCTGTTCATCAAAGAATAAAGATTCATCTATATATTTCAATCTCATAGTCATATTTCATCTGAATTTACTGCAGTAAGATATTAGATGTTGCACATTTCTTGGTGTTTAACATTACCTTATTCACCCTACTGAGTGTATTTAATCTACCTTAATTTAGAATTTGCACAATCATTTAAAAAGCATCCATAAGCATGAATAAATATGTAATACACCATTTTATTAATTGCCAAAGATTTGTAAATAATCTAAAATCATTCTAATTTTTATTCTTTTTTTTTTAGGTCAACCTAATCAGAGATTTTTTTTTATTATTTTGAACATTCATTAACCTAATTTACATGCACATAGTTTTCTATTTAAGGAACATATTCTCATTATTCTCATGAACATAATTAAATATCTTTTTACAAAAAATGTTACAAAAAATTCTGTTTCACATAAATGCTGTTCTTTTCTTCTGTGAATCCTGAAAAATTAAATGTATAACGGTTTCCACAAAAATATTGGGCAGCACAACTGTTTTCAACATTGATTATCATGCAGACTCATCAGCATTAAGCTTGACCATCTGTGTTGTGTTCAGGAGGAAGGGCTCCCTCAAAGGAAGGAAGTGGAGATCCATCTTTAATTTGGGCGGGAGACTCCAAGATCAGCGCAAGAAGAACAAATACTGTCCTAAAGGTGTGAGGTTCTGACTGTAAACCAAGTAACAGCTGAATTATAGAGTATTCTGGAAATGCAAAATGAATTTTTGCATGACTGAAATCAACAGATAATTGACTACAAATGTTTCCCCTCTCACATCTAATTCATAGCTTTTGTTTCTCATTATATCTTCTAAATGCACAGATAAAGAAAAGACAGCTCTGAGGCCGGCGAAGAGCATGGAAACTCTGAGCTCAGGTCCTTATGCACTAGACGGTATGAAGAGCGTTTCATCATCTGTTCATCAAAGAATAAAGATTCATCTATATATTTCAATCTCATAGTCATATTTCATCTGAATTTACTGCAGTAAGATATTAGATGTTGCACATTTCTTGGTGTTTAACATTACCTTATTCACCCTACTGAGTGTATTTAATCTACCTTAATTTAGAATTTGCACAATCATTTAAAAAGCATCCATAAGCATGAATAAATATGTAATACACCATTTTATTAATTGCCAAAGATTTGTAAATAATCTAAAATCATTCTAATTTTTATTCTTTTTTTTTTAGGTCAACCTAATCAGAGATTTTTTTTTATTATTTTGAACATTCATTAACCTAATTTACATGCACATAGTTTTCTATTTAAGGAACATATTCTCATTATTCTCATGAACATAATTAAATATCTTTTTACAAAAAATGTTACAAAAAATTCTGTTTCACATAAATGCTGTTCTTTTCTTCTGTGAATCCTGAAAAATTAAATGTATAACGGTTTCCACAAAAATATTGGGCAGCACAACTGTTTTCAACATTGATAATAATCAGAAATGTTCCTTGAGCAGCAAATCAGCATATTAGAATGATTTCTGAAGATCATGTGACGCTGAAGACTTGAGTAATGATGCTGAAAATTCAGCTTTTATCACAGAAATAAATGACAGTTTAACAGATATTCACACAGAAAACAGCTATTTTAAATTTTAATAATATTTCACAATTTTTACTGTATTTTTGATCAAATAAATGCAGCCTTGGTGAGCAGAATAATAATAAATCAACCCCAAACCTTTGAATGAACATAATCTTGCGCCACTATTATTTTGTTTGTCTCTCGGATTCCAAACATCCTCCTCCTCTGGTTCTGTCCACGGTGTCAGGCAGCTCAGAGGGCATGGCTTCTGCCGGCGGGGGCGTGTCCAGTGGATACGCGGTGACCTACAGGCGAACGGGCGGAGCTCAGGTCAGCATGGTGAGTGGAGGGACTCCAGGAACTTATAACCGTCTGGAGTCTGGGGGAGGAGCCGAGGGCGTGTCTCAGGGCGTGGCCAGATCGCCCGGAATGACCAGCAAAGCAGACCGGCGCGCCGGGATACACATATCAGGGCCATTTTCAGTGACCGTCCCGCTTCATATAACGTCTGGACTGGCTCTGGGTGTCCTGCACGGTGGCTGGAACGATAAGGAACAACCCCTACAAGGAGACGAAGCAGAAGATGAGGACGTTAAGAGCATAGAGACAGAGTCCACAGATGGGAATCCACAGAGCAAAAATTATAATGTTCAAGAGAGGGAAAGAGAAACCAATAGTTATGTGGAAAGTCAGGTGGATTGTGGGAAGGATATGGCAGAGCTTACAAGAAACGAGAACAATGTGCCAGAAAAAGGAGACTCACCGTGTGGCAAAGAAGCAGAGAAAGAAAATCTGAGTCAGAATCAAGAGTCTATGAAGGAAAATGTAAAAGACACACAACCACAAAACAAAGAGGAAACCACAGAAGAGGATTACGTGGGTAAGAGAGAAATATTGAGATTATTATTCACTGACATGTAAATGTGAGCATTCTGATGATCACGTGCAATTTATTTATTTTTTTTGGCAATGTTTTCATAAATTAAGGCAAGACACTGCAGGTGAATAGGGTAAAACACGTCTGTATTATTTTTCTGAAATGCTATGTTTAAATATGCAAAATGAGGCATTGTCTAATTAAGTATGCACTAATTTGCATACATTTCCACAACAGAAATCTGAACATTGGTTCAAAATTCTTGTTTGATTTTGTTGACATATTAGAGTTAAAGGTTTTAAGGAGATTTGTATTTCTCTTTTTATCACTCCATAAATCTGAAAATACTGTCAACAGGCAGAACATTTTTTTAAATATTTTTACCACGTGTTTAGGAGTAAAATGTCACATAAATCAGTCTGAATGATATATGAACAAACCCCTCAGTAAAAGCCTTCAGAATATAGAGAGGAATAAAACTGTAAGTTTTGATGTTTGTAAGTGCTGCTGAAGTGGAGAAAAAACTCACCACCTTTAACGATATGCATTTTCGCCATGTTTTCAGGAATAATATGTTATAAATATCAGTGTGAATGTTATATGAACAAACCCCTCAGTAAAAACCTTCAGAATATTGATAGGAATAAAACTGTAAGTTTTGGTGTATGTAAGTGCTGCTGAAGTGGAGAAAAAACTTTCAAAGATGTGGATTGTAATTGAAATCTACAGATACAAATATTTAAAGTGTTGTAAAATAAACATCTATAAGTGTATCTTAGAAGTTTTTTTCCTGAAAAAAAAATATTGTTTACATAATCTGAAAAAACACTTGAAAATTGACCAGTGCATGAAAAAAGTTTTTGCCTGTAGCGTCTCGCCTGAAGTATTTATTTTACTGCACTTTATCTAGCCTATTTGCATTTGTAGATTTGAATTACAATCCATGTCTTTGAAAGTTTTTTCTCCACTTCAGCAGCACTTACATACACCAAAACTTACAGTTTAATTCCTCTCTATATTCTGAAGGTTTATACTGAGGGGTTTGTTTATATATAATTCACACTGATTTATACTTTAAACATTTTATTCCTAAAAACATGGTGACATTTTTTTTTCTGTCTATTGACAGTATTTTCTGATTTATGGAGCGATATCGTCTCTAATATCAATCAAACAAGAATTTTGAACCAATGTTCAGATTTCTGTACTGCAAATTTATGTAATACAAAAATTGTTCACTATTCTTAATGTAATCAAATCAAATTGGGAAAGTATGGTGAGATATGATGGGTGTCTTGCCTTAAATGTGTGGGATGTTTTCTTTCCACTGAAATAACACTTTATGAAAAGCCAAATAGCCCAAAATAATAATAAAAAAACTGATCAGTGCATGAAAAAACAATGTTTTTCCTGTAGCGTTTTGCCTTAAACCTTAAAGTAAATTTTAACTCCTCGTTACTTGAGCTCCTTGAGGAAAGAGTGTGGTAGAAAATGAAGGCAAATGTAAATGTGTTTCCCACAGAAATGAGAGGAAACCTCCATCAGGAACCCATCAGTCCGCACTACTACGAGGGCATGGAGTTTCCAGACCCGGATCTGCCACTTGATTTCCAGGAAGCTTTCGGGTTCTTGGATTTGATGGACAGCTGTGCTGCAAACCCGGTGTGTTCATGCATGTGTGAATGAAGAAATGAATGAGTGAGAAATAACAGTCTTGTGACAACCCTTCACATAAGAGTAGGGATGTAACATTTAACCGCGAGCCGGTCGAAAATCGATTCAAATTTGTGATGATTCAAATCGGTTGAGATGCCAAACAAATCGTGATACAATTGTAGTAGGAGTTTATATGAATGTATCTCTGAGGGGAAATGACTGTCTTTAGAAAAAATTTATGTGGTATTTTCTTTTCATCTTGCCTCTGAACAATCAAGTCAAGTCAAGTCACCTTTATTTATATAGCGCTTTTAACAATACAGATTGTGTCAAAGCAACTG